CTCTGTGTTCTTATCAAAAGGGTAATAAGCAGTTGTAGTTTCAGAAATGACATCCCTTCTATTTTGTAATCTGGAAATTCTGAAAGAATTAAGTGCCTCTCAACAATGAAAGGCAAGATTACTGTAGGCTTTAGTTTTTATCACAGATAGCAACACTTTAACATGACTTGCCTCTAATCAGTGGGTGAGAAATTTTAAAGCAAAAACTTGTAGTTATTAAAAATGCAGAATTCTGATGTTTAAGTGACTTCCCATTAATATATAATAATGTAAGTTGTAAGAAAGATAGTTCAATAAAACTAACTGAATATAAATGTGTAAGATCAAATTTTATATAATAGATGAAGAATTAAAAAGGAATAAAAGAGTGATATTAAAATTTAAAGTTATAATGTCTATTTTTATATGCATTCCGCCATTTTAAGGTTATTTAGAGAGTGTTTCATATTCTGAAACATATACATTTATGTACAGTTTTTCTATATACATCTTCATGGGATAAACATGATTATCAGTGGAAATCTTTAAGAGGGGAAAAAAAACCCAAAAGTTATATTATGAAAGCAACTGGTAATGAATGAGTATATTCAGAATCATACTGCACAGTGTCATGAATCTCCGTTTGCATTCAATATCTTCCTGTTCTTGTAGAAAATAAAATCAGTGCCTCAGAATGTTTGTGTATCACACTTCTGTCTAAGGCCCTCAAACATGTTTTCAGTTTCTTCTTTTAGGATGTTCGCAAAGCTATCAGCACTCCCTTGATACCGCCCATTCCATGATAGTACATCAATTTTTGATCTATTTATTTCACCAACTCACATTAATTGTTTTTTTCAGGTTTGAAAACCCCTCCTCTTGTCGCTTTATCCTCTCTCTCCCAAGGGTGATGGAACTTTACAGCATGTGGAAGGGTGAAAGATTACTGCTTTGATTTTCTGTTAAATGGTCTGACGTTAGTTGGAGAAGAGATTTTTAGTTTTGCCCAAACTCCTACCGTCTTTTCTGCCTACTGCCTACTGCTATGCCTACTGCCTGCCTTAGTCTCTACTCAGATGTTCCATTTCAGAGCAGTTTTGGATCAGGGAACGAGTATCTGCTGCAGGAAAGCTGGAATAGGCAGAAAACCATAATAAATTACTTTCTTCTAATTCTTTTCAAATGACTAGACGGTGATATTCAAGGCTGGTTGGTCATTTCTGGCAGTGTGAAACCATGGGAAGTGTCTCCACAAAGCATAGAACAAAAGGCCAAGGAAGCTACTTCTTTAAAAATTTTAAGAGAAAATAAGTTTTCAATCAGCACCAAGGATTCAACAGCCCTCTGACCTCCCAGAATGATAGCCCCCCATGGGAAAGAGAGGGAGGCCCATTCAGTGGATTACAGTTCAAAATGCCCTTATAAACTTCTCTAAAGAAACTTTAGCACTGTGGCTATTAGGCAACTTTAACTTCCTCTGTGTTTTCTCTGGAAGCTGTAAAATAGTTTTCTCCTTTATCTCATCTGAATTGTACCTGTCTGTTAAAAATTTGAGAGAGAATAATGTGCTTAGTATTTCGACCTTTACAGAGAATATTGAACTTGCTTTTGTTAAAATAGAGGCAAGCTTAAATAATGGATCTTGCTACTGTGCTGCATGTGTGAAAGTAAATGGATTAGCTCTAAATATTGAAATGAAGTACCTGTCTACAAGTACACAGGCAAAAAAATACCTTCTCTTTCATGGCACAAGACTACCTACGTATGCTGTTTGCCTTACTTACCTTATGTAGAGGCATGGGTTTGATTATTATAAAGTATTTCGACAGATACTATGAATCTTTTCCAATAAAGACTGAAAGATATGATTTAATTGTGATAGTTCAGTTTTTGTGGTCAGAGCAACATAGATTCAAATCCTTACTCTACAACTAGGCATGCAGCCTTGGGCAATTATTTACATGTTACTCCTCTGTAAGTTAATAATAACATCTACCTTTCAGGGTTATGATGACGATTAGACACCTTATTAGTAGTAGATAATAATGCAGGGTTGCTTATTTAACTAAGTCCTCAATAAATGTACTTAAGAGAAATGTGGAAACATTCAACTATGCACACATGTTTACTCTTAAAAATTACAGTTGGCCTAACTTAATGTGTAGACAGCATTAGGTGAGCCCACAGAAAGGCCGACAGCAATCTGAGATGGGAAGGATAAATAGGAATTATTAAGGCAAAGGGGGCTAGGGGAAGTTGGGCATTACACCTCTAGCCATAGACTCCTTGAGCTGAGGATACAGAGCAATGAGTAATTAAAATGAATGAATACTGATATACACAGCAACATAGATAAATCTCAAAATAAGTACGTGGAGTTAAAGAAACTATATAAAAAAAAGAATACATGCTGTATATTTCTACAAAATTCTAGGAAATACAAACTAATATATATTGAAAAAGCAGACCAATGGTTGTCTGAGAATGGGACAATAGGAAGGGATTACATAGGTCATGAGGAATATTTGGAGGTAATGAATATATTCTTTGCCTGGGTTTCATATATATATATATATATATATATATATGTCATGATTTCATGTATCTGTCAAAACATCAGATTGTACACTTTATATATGAGCAGTATATGTCATGTATACTTCAATAAAACTGCTAGGCACACACACACAGTTTCTCTCTTAAACTATATTGGAAGAGATTATTCAATTAAGCAATTGTGAAGTGAAAAGATAGCTTTTCTTATTTTTAGGCAGGGAAAAGTACATTTTATTTTATTTTTAAAATTTTTTATTGAGTTCTAGTCAGTTTACAATGTTGTGTAAGTTTCTGGTGTACAGCACAGTTTTTCAGTCATACATGAATATACACATACTCATTTTTATATTATTTTTCACCATGAGCTACTATAAGATCTTGACTATATTTCCCTATGTTATACAGTATAAACTTGTTTGTCTATTCTATATATACCTGTCAGTATCTGTAAATCTCAAACTCCCAGTCTGTCCCTACCCACATCCCTCCCCCCTGGCAACCACAGGTTTGTATTCTATGTCTCTGAGTTTGTTTCTATTTTATAATTAAGTTCATTTGTCTTCTTTTTTTTTTTTTAAGACTCCACATATGAGTGATATCATACTGTATTTTTCTTTCTCTTTCTGGCTAACTTCACTTAGAATGACATTCTCCAGGGACATCCATGTTGCTGCAAATGGAGTTATGTTGTCATGTTTATGGCTGAATAGTATTCCATTGTATAAATATACCACAGCTTCTTTATCCAGTCATCCGTTGATGGACATTTAGGCTGTTTCCATGTCTTGGCTATTGTAAATAGTGCTGCTGTGAACATTGAGGTGCATGTGTCTTTCTGAATAAAGGTTCCTTCTGGATATATGCCCAGGACTGGGATTTCTGGGTCATATGGTAAGTCTATTCCTAGTCTTTTGAAGAATCTTCATACTGTTTTCCACAGTGGCTGCACCAAACTGCATTCCCACCAGCAGTGTAGGAGGGTTCCCTTTTCTCCACAGCCTCTCCAGCATTTGTCATTTGTGGACTTTTGAATGATGGCCATTCTGACTGGTATGAGGTGATACCTCATTGTAGTTTTGATTTGCATTTCTCTGATAATTAGTGATACTGGGCATTTTTTCATGTGCCTATTGATCATTCAGTGTCTTCATTGGAGAATTGCTTGTGAAAAGATATCTTGATAGGTCTAAGTCTGTCATGAGAAAGAATTTTATGCAGTTTAACACAGGGGCCTCCTTAAAGCTCTGGGATATCAGAAAAAAGAATACATGAATTGGAAGATTTTGTTTCACTGTTTTAAAACTAATCAGCATCACAGATGCTGGCAATTCACTTTCTCAAGCATTTGTTAGAGAGACAGCTTTCACAGATAGGATCCCTCTTTAAATTACAATCACATATTCAGTGCTATCCCATTCCATCTCACAAATGCTCTTGTCATAACAAGTTACATCCCCTAATTAGTAGAGTTGGTAACAGGAAGGTGAAAAGGCTTTTGATGTTCTTAATCTTCTAGGAAATTCTTAATATTTTATGGAAATCACATGCAATCGTGTTTCACATGCCTCAAATCACTTTTCAGACACCCAGAAAAGCATTTGTAGTTTTTATTGGCCTTTCTTATTCAATTTCTATCACTTCACTAAAATTACACTTTTCAGTATAAATAATATACTGAATAAATATGATATGGTATAAAGGGGGACAGAGGTGGTGAATTTCAGTGGCAATTTTAAAACATGGCCACCAAATTTGTTGGCACCCCCCCAAACAACAAAAAATATAGAGATAAGACTAAAGAACGTTGTTACTCATATAATCTCAATACTTCCTCATAAATAACTACTACACTTTGTTTAAAATTATTTCAAAATGCTTTTCTTGCATGTGCCAGTTTGACTCAGTATCAAGGTAGGCTTAGTCAGAGTATACCAGAGGCCTGTACAAACTTGTATTTTATTTCTATTTCTTTCCTCCCATGTTCACTTTCATATAGTCTTCCTTTTCTTTCTTTTCCTCTTTTAATTTTTGTTTTGTTTTATGACAAATATCACTCATTCTATTTCTGCATGAAGTTCTCATATGAAATTGAAGTCAAATGTTTGGTGTATTAGTGGAGCCAAGGATGCTGCTTTAGAACAGTGTGTTTTGTTCCTTACCTTAATTGGAAGGTTAATGTCTGTCACTCTTCCTCCCTAGAGTTTTGATCTAGGCAATGGCTGTTTGCTCAGTCTTATGAAAATGCAGTGATGTTACACACACAGGGACGGGGGCTCTGCAATGTGGCAGAAGCCGAGGGTGGCGTGGGACATGGTGACTGGGTAGGCAAGCAAAGTTATCTGCCATAGATCTCTTTCAAACGGACCCCTTCAGAAATAGCTTTACTTAGGAAGATTCCTATTAAAATGATAAGTTTTGACACAGGCTTCTGTTTTATTTCCCCTTGATTTTGGTGTGTTTTTCAGCTGCGGAAGGAATGGTGTGTAACCATCTCTGTTCAAACGATGGGTGCTGGGGACCTGGGCCAGACCAGTGTCTGTCGTGCCGTCGCTTCAGCAGGGGAAGGACCTGCATAGAATCTTGTAACCTCTACGATGGGTAAGGCATCTTACAAAGCAGCCTTTATCTCATGAACTTTGAGGTGCTGATTGGCTTAGATTTTAAATTGATAATAAAATGGTAAAGTTTCAGAATATGTGTGCTGACCAAGATTTTTAAGGAGAGCTTTGTTGTATAAAGGAGAAACATATAAAAGAATTGTTTTAAGGCAAAATAATTTGATTTAAATTAACAAGATAGGCAACATGCATATTAACTGTCATGCACACATTTTAAAAAGTGTACCAAAACAGGTAATTCTTAATAAATGATAATAATTTATACTTATAGAAAATAGAAAAAAATATATTTCTATTTTCTTTATGAAGGACATTGTTATACGTAATATTTCCTAGCATATGCCTCAACAATCTTTTTTTCTCATGTTTTCCTATTAATTTTCATCAGGAATTACTGCATACCTTTTGATTTGTTTCCATTCAGGTTGTGTGTCTATTTGATTGTGTTAGGAATAAAACATGTTTCTGTATCTCTGACAACTGTTTAGCGCTATAGAGAAATTACCTTTGTAGTTTCTAGTTGAAAAGATTTTTGAGAGTGTTCTGTCACTTCCTAAAGATAACCCAAGATATACTTTAAATCAAGTATTTTAAATTCCATCTGATAGTACAATAATCAAATTGCCAACAATAAAACCTAGTGTATACCTTGTTGCGTGGCATTTCATATACTCATAAAATCACTTCATCCTAACACACCATTTCATGTATCGCAGTTGTCCTTCATTAATATGATGATGCATTTTTAGTACTGTCCCTGAGTCAAATTTTCCTATATTGCTCACTGAACAGATTCTCAACAGTTTTGTAAAAGTGTAGTTTTGAAGTTCTTTATTCCATTTCTTCTTCTGCCTCATGAATTTTCCCATTTTAACAACTGTTTTCATGATCCCAGATAACACTGTATTTTTGCATTTTACATCAGAAAGATAAAAATCTATGGATCATAATAATGCTGATATGTCTCTTCTTTGAAAGATGACAAAAACCAATTTCTTCCATGAAATTTAGGGGAAAAAATTAACGTTAGAATTTTAAGTATAAAAACAATTTAAAAGAAGAATTTAATAGTTTTCTCAGGAATATTTCAACTTGTAATTTTATGAAGTACAGTCAATTCTTAAATTTGATAATGAATAGCAAGTTATTTGCTGCTTGTGTCATTGAATTGTGTTCATGCTTGTTGACATTATAATGAAAGAATGATATTTTCTGTACATAAAATAGCTCAGATTAAAATGTGCTTGTCTCTGTGTAGCAACTGATGCCGTTAAATGGAACTAATAGACTTTAATTACATTAAGTGAATGTTACATCAGAAGTTTATTGAATATGTATGTGTAACTTGAAAGAGAGAATAGGTTCTGGAAATCATTTTATCTAACAGAAGCATCTTATGAACAGTGAGAACTGGTAGAATGTAAGTTTTGGCCAAGTCACAACCCTATGGAAGTACCAAGCCAACCCCAGAATTCAGGACATCCGATTTTCATCCAGTGTCCTTTCTGGATGGCCATTGTTTTTCTTCAGTGTTTCAGTTTTAAATTTGTTAGAAATATTATTGACGTATAGTCAGTTACAACGTGTCGATTTCTGGTGTAGCAAATAGTGTTTCAGTCATGCATATACATACATTTATTTGTTTTCATTTTGATCACAGCATTGGCAAAGGTATCACAAGGAAACTGTGAGAAATGTGTGACAGCAAAAACACAAAGCTCAGTGAGCAAAGCTCACGCTAAATCGAATGTGATTTGTTAGGTCAGATTCAAGTGAAAGGGGATCTCTGACAAAGTCACTGCGGAATCATTAGGAGACAGGGAAGGGAAAAAGCAGTGATGGAGACAGTGACAGTAAAGAAACTACAAAGAGAATCTGTTCTGAGAGCAGAAAGGAAGGGAGCCAGAAGCCATACAAATAGAAGTGTAGTCTATAAAATAAAAGGCAGCGAGGTTGTCTCCATGTTTTTTTATGACATATTCATTGTACTCCTCAACTCTGTGTTTGTGGAAGGGAGTTTTGGAGAAGAGAAAGAAAAGCATGATCTATGTTTTAGTATCATAAAAACTATTACCTTCATTTAGAATTGTAGCTCTTCAGTCACCCAAGAAACTGTTTTCAGAAGCAGGGCTTTGCTGACCATCACAGGCTTTGCTGTAACTATCGTATAATTTCATTGTACATGTGGTGCTTTTGATTCTTTTTACAATTTAACTACCACCCCATCCCCCACTCCCCCAACACCAGGTCATTTTGACCTTTGTATTCTGAAGATTTCCTTTTCTGAATACTTTAAATCACTCATGTTGATGAAACGTGCAGAAGAAAAACTTTTTATGTAATTAAGATTTTATTTATTTACTTACTCATTTTTATTTATTTATGTTTTTAATTGAAGTATAGTTGATATACAATCCTGCATTAGTTTCTGGTGTACAGCCTAGTGATTCAGTTGTACAGACATA